CCAGCCTGCATGGTGCCATAGAGTGATTTCTTCAGCCTCATAACCTTTCCTATCTTCCTGCCTTCATATCCCTCGGGTGGCCAAATATAGATTTCTTCATCCAGGTCAGCATTCAGGTATGCCGATGCAAAGTCAATTTGCCAGATGTAGTATCCAAGAGAGACCCATAAGGCAATCAGCATCCTGAGAGACTCCAGACGCATAACACCTGCGAATGTTTCATAGTAGTCCTTCCCTTCTTCTTGTCTGCCTCCGTTTACCACCAATCTGGCTTTCTCGTCAACTATCTCTCCATCGCTGTTGAGTTTGTGAGCAAAAACCCATAAGGGTACAAGGATGGTAGCTCCAGGTGGGGGGTCTTGAAGGTCACCAAACACATCGAACTCTATCATCCTGTCCTTTTCTTTTCTGAACGTGGCTTCCCATCTAGTCGGATCCTCCATCGCCTTGGTGTAGGTTTTAGGTATAAGGGGAATTCCCATGGCGGCAAGAGCAAAGTTGAATTTGCTGTCTACCTCTCCAAAGATATCGACGATTTTCGCAAGGTTTGCCTGGATTGAAAAACCAGCCCATGCCTCCCCTGCTTCCCTAGCCTCCATCTCTCTCCTCTCAGACTTTCTTGAAGCTACAATAGCTGAGGTTTGGGTTCAGTTTCTGTTGGATTGTTGCAAAGGAGCTGGGTCAGAAGTATGTGGCACAGGTGGATTTGGATCTATCTCCATCACCGAAGTACCTTGAGGCATGTGGACGAGAGTTGAGGTTTGATCAGAAGAATCTTCGTTGAGAACTGATGGACTTTGGATGTTGATTGGCCTGTCTTCATTTCCTTCATCATCCTCCCCTCCAATCAGCTCCAAAGTTTGATGACCACGCCCTTCCTCAAACTCTATGTGACGGCTCTCAATAATCTCTGCTGACTTTGTGAACAAAAGGTATGTTCCTCGCTCTCCATAGCCTACCATCCTTCCTTCCTCAGCCCTCATGTCGGTCTTCCCAGGTTTCCCATTTACTATGGTCACCCATCCTTTAGCTCCAAATGGTCGAAGATGTGTGACATCCTGACATTTCTTTGTCCAGAGCTCAGCAGGGATATGGAAGTTGGTTCGTGCAGAGGGTAGTAGGTTCTCAGTGTAAGTGGTATACACTGCAGTGTGCATCCACAGGGATTGAGGGAGACCTGAGTCACTGAGCAAAGTTCGTACCTTGTCGAAAATTGTCCTGTGCTTCCGTTCGGCTACCCCATTTGCAGCAGATGAGTATGCAGGGATTCATTCCAACCTGATCCCATGCTTCTTGGCCCACTCGTTCCATACTTGATTATTAAACTCTCCCCCACCGTCAATCCGTATACAGGACAGCTTCTCCCCTGTCGCATTTTCAGCCATCACTCAATAACCATCCATGACTTCTATCGTTGTCTCGGCCTCCTTGTTCTGCAGATAGTAGTCTTTGGCAAACGCCAATCGACCATCAACCACAGGCATCATGTATATGTATCCTCCTCTCGCTGGAACCCTCATGGGGCCAGTAAGGTCAGTATGGACTCTTTCCAGTAATCGGGATTCTCGTACAACCTCCACATCGAACGGCCTCTTCATTGCTTTTCCCATTATACAATTGACACACTTCCCAACCATGGTATCTTCTGTCACTATGAGTCCATCCACAAGGTTCTTCTTCAGCAACATCTCAATTTGGGATTGCCCTGCATGAGCCAACCATCTATGCCATGTTTCAAGAGTTGTTGGTTTATTGAGGGAACGTGCTGAAGCCGCAATGGGCAGACTTTCTTTCTTCTCCCGTAATTGATACAAGTGTCCCAAGCCATACCCGGTTAGGAAGTGGATGCCCTGGGGTGAGAAGAACTTGACCTGGCCCTTTCCAAATATCATTTGATACCCAAGCTGATCAAGTCGTCCAACTGAAATCAGGTCTGAGGTTATTTTTGGGGCGTGGAGAGTGTTTTCGAAAACAAGGATGACCTCCTTCTCTCCCTCATACAGAGTCTTTCGAGCATGCCCTCGACCTATGATTTCAAACGTTGTGTCCTTTTCTGAGGATTGGCTGGACGAATGGTAGGGCTCGTAGGTAATGAAGTCAGAAAGGTTTCGAAAGAAATGGTCAGATGCAGCTGAATCAGTGTATACGGAGTTTGACTCAGAAGTAGATGCCATCATGGCATAGTGCTGTGGAATATTGGCAACTGCCATACTCGCGGACAATGAGTTTTCCCGCTTTCCTCGCCACCATGACGGAAACTGCCCTTCTTTTCCTCCACCCTTCCTATAACATTCTTCCTTGATATGACCTTTACAACCGCAATTCGAGCACTCTTTGTTGCTATTCTTTGGGTTCCGTGTGGCCAGCTGAGCCCCAATCTTCCTCTTGATCTCCTCTATGTGCGAAGCGAGGTGAGCCTGGGTGGAGATCTGATCACCACTGGTTGTGGCCCTCGAATCTCGAATCTCGACATGGGAATAGGAGAAAGAGACTTGCTGAATGACTGCCGTGGAAGTTTTGTTCTGTGGAAGAGAGGAGACGGTTTGGATGATAGTGTCGAATTCTTTCGAAGGGAAGGCAGCAAGGATTATTTGTCAAAAGGTAGAGTCATCTATTTCATTACCAGCCTCTACCGCTTCCTTACGCAGAGTACAAAGATTTTTGAAGAACCCTTCAATCGATTCCCCTTCCTTGAAGGTGTATGAATGTAGCTTCCCTTCAGTGAGGACCTTTCTCATCTCATCTTTCACTGCATACTCCGAGTCGAATGCCTCCATCAACTTGAAAGCATTCAACGAGTCAGCATTTGAAATTAGAGAGGTGAGATCATCAACGTGAGCCTCGATTACCCCTTTTGACCTATCGTTCCTGAAAGTCCATTCTTCCAGGGAAGGCTTCGTGGAGTAGACTGATGTCGAGGTGGCCTCAGTAGTGGTGGAAAAAGTCGACTCGGAAGTGGAAAGGGATGGAGAAGGTTTCTTGATGGATCCGTCTATGTATCCAGCAAGCCCCTGGGATCGCAAGGTACTCGTGATCTTTCATTTGACTGGCGTCCAACTTAGGCGGACACCACCGTCGAATTTTTTGTCCTCAGGAACCTCAGGAATGGGAGGTGGAATTGCGCCATTGCTCGCCATGTTATAGGTTCAGGATTGGTTCGGGTGTCTATATATATTCGATGTTGTTCTCGAGGTTCAGCAGCGGGCGGGGCCCATAACCTGTAAGACTATTGTAAGCTTTGTATTCTCAGAGCACACCGAAGGAGGTGCAAATCTCCTATTAAGATGTATCTACCTGTAAGACTATCGTAAGCTTTGTATCTAAGAAACGATTATTAGCAATCCTACAGGCAAGAATAATGGCCAAGTACTCACTCTCAGAGCACACCGAAGGAGGTGCAAATCTGAGAGTGCGAAAATTATCTACGGACTTTTAAACATCAGAAACCTATTTGTGATCGAGCGGGCACAGTACATTTGTAAGTAATAGGATCGAAACCGAGACCTAAAATTTAAAGGAGTAGGTACAAGATAAGATCGAAAGGAACAGACCGAGCGTCCGGAACAGAGATGAGGGCTGTTGTTGAGCCGGACTCGAAGATGTCGAGGACGATGTATTTGTCTCCTCCGGACAACCTATCGTCAACAACGGTAAATTCGTATTTCAACTACCGCGTATTCAATAGCGTTATCGTTGTCTTGCTATGTGTAACTCATTTCAATATATGCACTATTCGCAAAATCTATGCATACCAAAACTCCCCCATCTTCACTTTCATCTCCTTTACTTTCTCATCACCAAATCTTGATTCTCGCTCAAGCCCCTGAACGCCTCAGTAACATATTTACTATCCTCCTGTACACGTATACCGGTACAGAGGTAATGAGAAGCCTCATAATATCTTGGCGATCGACATCCTGCATTTTGATACCAGCCTTTCAGTTTCTTTCCTTTCTTATACGTGAACGGGACTGCAAGACCTTTCGTCCTTCATTCGTCCTCGTGTATGCTCTCTCGGCCTCTCCTCTAATCGGCCTATTCCGATTACAGAGATGATTCCCCATGTGTCTGGTTTTTCCAAATAGAACTTGAGAGGTAATGCAGATAATCCAGGCGAGTTAGGATCAAGTGTGATAAGATACTAGTACCTGATATGCAAAAATCACTTACATTTTGGTTGTAAGCCTTGTCGAATAGGAAAAGGAAACTCCATTTGAGGTAACACATCGTTAGCGGAGGGCAACGGCTAAGCCATCACGCAGAGAAAACTGAGTAAGAGCAGGACGATTGTGATGGAAAAGGAATGCAGAGAATAACGAGGAAGCATTTCCTGTGGAGGTATAGAAATGCTGTGACGATAAGGGCGGTGGACCTCTAGTGACAAGTGTAGGAGATAAATGAAGTTGTTGAGAAAGAGAAAATCGTCTCGAGAGGTCGAGAGGTCGCGTTGAAACTGAACCAACTCAGCAACTGCATGTAACTTGAAATCACTTGCAACCGCGATAATCTGGCCAGGAAAGCTCTTCAGGATAGACAAGCTGTTTTCTTTCAGTAGTAACCAGGGAACAAGAGTGAGGAACATTGAAAATCAAGATCACTCAATGTCGCAGGAGAATTGCGCCAAAAAAAAAATGACCGCAAGAGAGCGGGACAACAGCTGACAACGGGGTATATCAAAGGCCAGTATGGGCGAGCGAAGATTCTTGAATGCAAGGAATGAGATTGTTATGAAACTATATAGATCCATGACCGGTTTATAATCCAGGAAAAGGAAGAAAGTAGAAGAGACAAAAGAACATGGGACAGAAAGGGGAGAAGATGGAGAAACCAGTCTACCTCGCCCTGCATTAAAGAGCATTTGGGTAACAGAAGTCGGGGGAAATCAACTTCCCTCCCTTTATGTTATGGTTAGTATTGGAACTGTTGATTGGCGAAGGATATCTGTAACAGTTGTGTAAGTGCGTACATTTTTCAGCTACTGTCCCCCTTCAGGAGCATCGGTCCCCGTCGATTAGTGGTTAGATCATCACGTTGTGGATTAAGCAGCACCGTGAAGACGCAGGCTCGACTCCTGCCAGGGACATTTGAGAACATTATCTTCTTTTTGTCCACGTTGTCCACTAACGTCCTACAAATCGCTACGACTTCAACGCTCGAAGAAACATGAGATGATCTAGAATAATCTTGGGATACACTTGGGAAAGTTGGAAAGTTGGAAAGTTGAAAAGTTGCAGTGTTCGTTCGCGGTGGCCGACGGAGTTTCTTACTATAATGCCTCTTGATGCCCTTTGCCAAGGTCCCCGACAAATCTGACAGTTGGTCAGTTTTGTACGAGTATCGTCCATTCTAGAGTTAGCCTTAACCACAAAAGATTCGAAGGCATGAATTCCTTTTGTATAACTACAGCCAGCTGTTATACTATACCTAAGTAATCATTACCGACACTTTCTGTAATGACTTTCCTTGCAATTTTACCTGCCACGATGGTCAGTCATTCTGCAAAGTCAAGACCAAAGCAAATCCAAATCTTAATGTAGATCAAGAGGAATGTTCATAGAGATGATGTATCTCCTTATTCCCCTGACAATGAGTCGGGACCCGAGTCTAGAATATCGTACTCAAACAGATCTAGTCCAAAGTGAAGGATTTCAGTTTCGAGCGATCTATCACGAATGCAATGAGTCAAAAGAAAGTCTGAGGGACATAAGGCTAAAAACGGACCTTTCACTTCTGAAGATAGCAGGAGGATGGTAAAGAGCCATGGGAAATGCTGCTACAGAAATTGAAAACTGTCCCAACTGCCACTCACATTTAGAGGCAAGTCAAGAGCTGGATTGTTCGATCTATAGTCACCACGAGAGCAGCAATTTAGAAATCGAAAGGAAGCGGTCGAGAACGAGTAATGGGAAGGTTGAAAAATGGTTGAGTGGTCGAGTAGGTTCCAAAAGACGACTGTAGAACGGGATAGAGGGTGTTCTTATACAGCTCCAATAAGATCTTGGGGATTCAATGTTTTCGATAACACTCGAAGTCGCTGAAGCCCTCTGGTCTATTTCTTTCGCCTCGTCTAACAGCTTAGAGTGGATCGCGTATTCGGAGAAGCTGGCACACAGGCTGCCAGCACATTGGAGCTCATGCACAATGCAGGTTTTGTGCATGGATGTCAGTGCTCACCAGAAATTTTGATAAAGTGGCTCAGATAATGAACGGCTTTATTGAGATTTTACTACCTTGAATCATCTTTTCCTTATAGGAGACCACGTCACGCAGTGGGCTAGAGTCAGATATATTGTGACTTGCTATTTTTGAAATCAGAGCAGGATTTCCGCTCTTTTAATCATTCCTTGATGACGATAGAGAGAACCCCAAGCAAACAGCAGAAATGCTGAGGAGGTTGCCTGATCCCTATTGCCATGAGATACTAATGTTGAATGTATAAGATTGTGTGGAGATTAAGAAGAATCATCGCTCAATTCGATTATATCCACCACTGCCTTCATCCTCGTAGTCGTAGTCGTCGTCGTCATTGTTGTCTTCATTTTTACCTTTGCCTTCATCTTTGGTTGTTCAGCCACCTTGGACCTTGCTCGAGCGCGGGACAGTGGTGGGATATCGCTGTCATCGTCCGTGTCGGAAAGATCCCTTCTAGTGGATTTAAACGTAGTCGAGGTCGGTTTTGACGGACTGGACCCAGCCAACTTGTCAGTGTGGCTCTTTATAATATCTAATCTTTTAGCCGCCTTGGTGTTCGATCTAGGTTGTGATTTAGGTGCAACTTTTGGGGGAGGTTCTTCTCGTTCCGTCTCCTCGTCTTCGGAGTCGGAGATGATTATAGGTCCTGCTATAGAAGTAGGAGGAGGAGGATGAGCACTAGAGCTGGTGAGAAGTGGTGGTATAGAAGAAACACGAGTAGACGCGACCGGTTTGTTCGTGGAAGACACAAACGCAGATGTAGCTTTAATTGGGGTACGTCTCATAGGCGTCGGAGACGTCGTTCGTGCTCGTGAAGGATGCGGAATATCACGTATTGTCTTCCGAACTTGATCACCATTTGCAGAGACCAGTCCTTTCGGATACTTATGATCGTTAGATTTCCGGGGCGACTTGTTTAAGATACCGGCTGTGTCCTTCCGTGAGCTGGAGTCGTCATCCGAACCAGACGAATCTGAATAAACGACCGCATCTGACTTGCGGGTCTTCTTTTGAGGGGAGGGTGTCTGCGGTGGGCCGGGAGCAGGCGAGTTCATATGATGGGCCTTGAAGGAATCGTTGAAGTCAGGGTCGTCGCTATCGTCGACATCGAAGGGATTATCTATTAACACGGGGAAGGGTCGCGGTGTGATTTTCTCTGGGGAAGAGGACTCGAAACGAGTGTTTTCCCCCTTCTTGTTCTTATTCTTCTTCGGCGTGGCAATATCGTCGATCGTGGAAAGCAAGCTATCCGCTCGGGATACAGTAGCCTTCTGTTTGCCTTTGCCAAGTGTAGAGGATTTGGAAACTTTGAAGGCATATTTGATGTCTTCGATACGCACATTCAAGGAGGAACCGGATCTGTATTGAGGAGGAGGAGGAGGAGGAGGAGGAGGAGAGGAGTAATAAGAGGCGCTCGAGGAAGGATGGTCACTGGATGATGTATCGGGGGAAACAGATCGTGTATTGTGAATTGACACCCGATCCATGTTATTATTCCTCGTATACGTGGCAGTGTGAGTAGGACGACTGAGAAGAAATAGACGTTCGTTGTATTCCATATCGTCGTCAGACGAATTGACATCATCTCTCTTGAGAGCCGGTTTGTAGTCAGTGGGTTTAGCTTTGAGTGTCGCGGACGGAGCCGCTGATTTAGGTTTCGGTCGCGGTTTTCTCAGTGACTTGATCTTTGGTTCTTGACCATCTATTGCTTCCACCTTTCTTCCCTTTCCTGTCTTTTTCTCTTCCTTTCTCCTTCGACTTTCTTCATACGCCTCGACCACATCGGGAATCGCTTCCTTAACGAGGACTGCGGGAAGCCAAAGCTTCAAAGGCAGTGTAGGGTCCGGGTATTCCTTCTTCGACTTTCCTATCCCACCACCCTCGTCACCGGATGACTCGTCGCCTGCTTCCTTCTCGAATTCAGCCCATTCATCCTTATCATCGGGTCGACGTATTCCTTTAACTCCGCGAGTAGTGAGTTGAACCAGAATAGTGGGATCAAGAGCAACTCGGTACTCGAGCGTCTGCGAAGTAGATTCGTGCGTCCGGGTTTTACTAATGTTCTTAATGAGCGCTGGACACGAAGACTTACCGCTCACGACAGGGTGATCTCCAGAGGCAAAATGAGCGCAAATGGCGTCGAGATTGATCATGTTAGCATCGAAGGATCCCGTTTTTCGAGATAGGCAAGCGCGTCGCAGAATCCGGAGGACGACACCGTGAAAGATCACTGTACGAAAACGTTTGATAATGCTCTCGAGGAAACCCCATTCAAAATAGAATTCGCACTTCTCAGCGAGCTGTGATAACGACGGGTCCTTCTTCAACCATCCGTCCTGACCACTGTTATTGACCAACAGATCATCATAACGTGCAGAGCGGCCAAGACTTTCGCTGGTGACAGGTCTTAAATAGGCAAGCAAGACCTTGATATCTGGAAAAGATTCGGGGATGGTGTTGGCAAGCTTGGGTGACTTGCGAGGTAGGAACCCAGAGGCATTGGTTTTCAACTCCTTCGCTAGCTGCGACTTCCATTGATGAATGAAGTTTTGGAGCTCGAGAGAATTTTCGTCGTGGGTTAGAGCAGCTTGGCATAAGCTTTTTCCGAACCCAGCCCGGGCAAGGCCGTACGATATCTTGACACCACAGTTATCGAGACCCGTGCCATAGTCACCGCCAGAACACAGAGCGATGAAGATGAGCTCTTCAGGACCAACATCCGGGAAGGCGGGATGAGGGAGGGTGTACGTATAAACTTTTGCTTTCTCGATTGTACTTTTTGCACCAGCATGAGTCGAGGAATGATTCCGGACTACGGTGTGTGCACCGAAGAGAAAATTGTCCACATCATCGGATAGAATTCCATCTATAACACCAATTCTATTCAGTAAAGCGAGCTCCGCTTCTGCTTCTCCGGGAGCCTTGATATCAACAACATTAGCATGTTAGTATTTGTGAGAGATTAGTGCGCACCGTGCGATATTCGAACCCAAACGCCTCTATAATCGCTTGCATACCAGTTACTAATTTATTCGCCGACTTGTTTATCCTTTTTCCTCGTTTGATATCCGGTCTTAAGGGTCCATCAAATATGAATAGAGGTAAAAATCCTTGGCTGAGCAACTGGGCGCATCGGAAAAAGAGCGTACGAAGTTCGGGATTTTCGCCTTCTTTGCCATACTCTGCATGGAAGAACCAGATGGAGGCATCGATGCCTATGCGGAAGCCACGACTGGTGGCATCGAATTTCGTGAGTGAAAGCGCGGTCAGTGTTGTGACCGATTGAGCCGGTTCTAGGAGCTGAGTAGATTTTGATGAAAAGATAAATATGCAGATAATTGTGATATTTACCGGCCAAAGTCCTGCAACACCCATATCCTTCAGGGAGCCTGTTGAAACGACCGAAAGACTGAGCTTCAGGCTAATTAAAGGGCAAGGAGGCGATAACAATTGTGAACATGGACACGTGATAGATGGTTACTCATAGTCCACGGTGTGACAAGGTGTGACGAATTTACTATCATGGTGACTCGACGCGGAACCGCAATAATGCTGTATCTACTTATCCAAAAAAGCTCATGCTCGTTTGATTACCTTTTTACTACCCACTATGAAGGGTATCTTCGACAACCATTGCTACTGCCACCTTTATGATTGTCACTCTGGGGCCGACCTTCAGCTCGACGGATGCTCTGCTCAAGTTTTGATAACAGACGTCCATGCTGCTGTCACGATCTCTCAAACATTTACTCGTCGAGACAGCTGGAACGTTGCTCACAATGTCTCTGGCGTGTATACGTTCAGTTTGATGAGAGATGCTGCTGTGTGTGAATTTGAGATGATTAGAGGCGATGGTACCAAAGTCGAAGGAATCGTCAAGGAAAAGCAGGA